CACTCAGGTGATCATTATTGATACTTGATATAAGCAGTGACAGCACTAGGATTGTAAAAGTTGGGCAAGCTGTAGGTAAGGGAAAATGTTTGGGGGGGGGGCAAAATGTTGTGAGGGCGTAGGCTGCGTAGCGCCAATTCGAGCGCGAAGTGAAAAGAAAACTTGAAGAGAAAAAAACGTCAATGTTATTACATGTATGAAGTAAGTATCCAGTGGAGGGGGGAGGCAACTGGGGGCACAGGCTTTGACTGGGGACATGCCCCATGCCCCCCTTGGTGACGCCACTGGATATAAGTGAGCTCTTTATACGCAATACGGCCTTATTTCCCACCGGGAGACCAAGAGGATCACAAGAAAGGTGAAGATTGGCATTCCTTCTTGCGTGATGAAGTCTGTTCGTTGCACTCGATCACCATGTCCTTCTGTATTCGAATTCTCTCCCTTCCTCTTTAGTAAATTGCAATTTTGAGGTTTTTTCTACTGCAATCTGCAGTGTTGATCTGTCTATTTGATCAACTTGTCTCTTTCCGTCTTTGATATAGTCCCTTGGACTTTGAAGACTATTGTTTACGAGGTTACAATAGTTTGGTTGTTACACACAACCATAGATATAGAATACAGAAAGATAGCAAACTCTACCGCAACGCCACTCGTTGATTGAAAAAGGTTCTCCTATTCTATAGCTGTGATACAATAACATACATATGATATAAGATCAAGAGCTAATAAATACCTAGGTGTTTATTAGCTCTTGATAAGATGTGATCATGTGAGTAAAAACAAATATTTTTTTATTGGCTCCACATTATCATATATATTTATCTATTTTCTATAGCTGCATGTTTTATTTATTTACTTCCATTGGGAGAAGAAAAGAGGGATAAAGGAAGGGATACATAGAATGAAAGTGTCAATGACACTGTAGCTCACCAAAAAAAAGGAGACAAATGAGTGAGTAAGAAGACGTCAGTTTTAATTGAGCAACCATCGACGTACATTATAGAAACGATTGCCATCTGTATATCGCAATAATAATTTATAAACCAAAATAAATCACAATTTGTGACCGTAGATGGCGCTATACCCGCTTTGTAGCGATGGCGTTTGAAATAAATAGGTTATGCTGCGTTCCGACATGTTTTTAAAACTTTACTCTAATATAGATGTTTTATCGGCAGGGTGGAGAGAAAATACCAATTTTGCATTAAAGATATTGTCAATGAAATCTTGTAAAACGAACCAGACGAGTGTGACACCACAGACTGTTTGTGTCTATATAATATGCTATATAATTTCCAAACCCTACCTAATTTGCATAATTTTTTTTTAAATATCAAAACCCCTAGCCTTTATTCATTCACATACCAAAAATGAGCAAAATCCGTTGAACCTGAACTGACTAATGGAAATTCCCATTTTTGCCAAACAATCGATGTGGCTCGAAAGTACGCCAACTGGCGTGCTCCAAAATAGGACGTTTAATATGGGAGCATAGCAGTAACAACTACACCCAATTTCAAACATGTGGGTCAAACGGTTCCTGAGTTATCGTTGACCGAAGCCAAATGTTGACAGACGGACGGACGGACTTACATCGTCAAGCTGAGCTATTGCCATGGGCAAAGAACGAGTGAGAGGCAGATAGAGAACGAGAGACAGGAAAAGAGAGAGGAGAGGAATATATATATATATATATATATATATATATATATATATATATAA